TCCCTCTGTAACTGCTACCACTTAGGCCTCCAGGTTGAGATCCCTCTTTGTTACTTTTTAGCTCCCTTGTTTCTTATTGACTTCTTTATTTTCTGAGTCCTTGGACTAAAACGTGAGTTCCTTCAGGGAAGAATTTTACCTGTTTTTTTTCCACCCTCCATATTCTTGACACTCAGTGTCTAATACCTATTAGCTATTCCACATACGTTTGTTGAATGAAGACTGATAAGGCTTTCCAGAGAAATCTGCTCAAGGTTTCCTATACTCACCTCCCTCAGGACATCCTTTAACTACACAGCCTTTGCACTCCTGTCTCTTACCCGTATCTCCTGTTTCAGCTCAAATGCCATGACGGCCCTTCTCCCTGCTCACCCCACCCCCATACACTTCATCACATCCCTTCTCCCCTAAACAGCTGGACTCTTGATACCCCGCTCCTTCAATTGTCAGCTAAGGAGTTGTGAATAAAATGACTTCATAACTCTGTGCCTCAGTTTCCTCATCTAAAAATGGGGGAAAACAGAGAAACAGAAAATCATTGTGGCTGCTGTCAGGATCACATGGAATAATCTGTGTAGGACGAAAGAGCCTGATCATCAACAAATGCTAAATATTCATAATTATTCCTACATATTTGAGCACTTAATCAGAATGCTACCCTTAAATTTAAAATCTCAAATATTTTGGTTTTCTGTTCTTTCTGCCTATTCACACAGAGTCTAGCATAGTATCATATGTACTTATTGGGTAATTCAACAAATAGACATTTGGTTAAGCTCAATAAAGGAAATAGGAAAGGGATATAATGAAGAAAGGTAGGTAAAGTCTTTTATTAACTCAATTATATTTACCTTATATTCTTGAAATTCTGATGAGGAAAAATCAAGGCTTAATCAGTATTTTTTGCCAATAAATTCAACTTAGATTTCTATTTATTTGAGGATACTGCCTCCTTTCAAGTAAACTTTTCACAAGCTTGGTCATTTTTCTTACTCCTGAGAAATATTTTATTGGTATTGGCAAATAAGCAACAGAAACATTGTCTTGTGTTTGACTTTACCTAAATGGTAATTCATAGATCTATTAGACTGTTACCTGGATAATAGAAAATAAAATCAAGAAAACAAAAAAGCAAGCAATACTAATCTCCATCGTATAGGAATGTAAGTGAATATTCATGTGAAATTAATAAATACCAGGTGAAAATGAGCAAATTACACCAGCACACATTTATTGGGCTTAAGAAGGGATGTGTCATTGGCTTACACTCTCTATCCTATAGGATTCCAACAATTTAAACTTCTCCAACTGAAAGTTATGAGTGTTGACGTAATGTTGCTGTCCCTGGACAGCTGAGCTCAGCAGCACTAGTTCCATGTTTCCTTTCCAAAGGATAGCTAAAGAAACATTCTTTTGACAAGTGTAATATGTTTGCTATGTTTCAGGAATTTTTTTTCACATTTTCCTCTATAGCTCAATGTATCATTCCATGATTTCTGTGGGTTTGATTTATGTGGGGTCAGGTGCAAAAGTTAGTAAAAAGCACAATGTTCAGAATAGACCAGAGTAATCTAAATGAGGGTCATAGATTTGATGCTCCGGAAAAGAAATTTTCACCTCCTGTATGTACGGAGCTTCGTCTACCATCCAGGCATTATTTGACTGGTTGATTGATTTTAAGTATGGAAAGGTTTCACCTTCTTCTTCTTCTTTTTAAACTTTTTTTTTTTTTTTTTTGTCAGAGAGAGTGAGCACAGGCAGACAGAGTGACAGGCAGAGGCAGAAGGAGAAGCAGGCTTCCTGCTGAGCAAGGAGCCTGATGTGGGACTCGATCCCAGGACGCTGGGATCATGACCTGAGCTGAAGGCAGCCACTTAACCAACTGAGCCACTCAGGCGTCCCTTCTTCTTAACTTGTAAATGGATAATGTATCCAACTGATACAAAATATAATTCTTTGACAAGTCCTTTAAAAAAATTAACCCATAGTATACATAATTCTGTAACTTTATTCTCCTGACAACATGTCATAGGCATCTTTCTAGGTCAATAGTTAAACTCCAGCTCATCACTTTTAATACCAACAAAATATACACAGTATGGGTATATTAACAATTTTCAACCAGTCTATTGATGGCTAATCAGGTTGTTTTTAGGTTTATTTTTTACTTACTACAAGATGGAAATTAATATTTTCATATGTATGTCTTTACATACGACCACCTTGGGTTCTATAGGGTAGATTCCAGATTATAAGACCAATGGATCAAAAGGTATACAATATGTAGATCTGTACATAAGCCTATATATTTACATTTTTTCTATAGAAAGATCTAGATACTGTCATATTTACTTAGCTTTTTTTTTAACTTCATCAATATTGATTTCCTGATGGAAATTGTTTTTTTTAATCACACAAAAATAACAAAAATCATGCCTTGCCTTACTCAGAAAACTTCAACCCAGCAATGAAATATGTCTCAAATCAAATACTTTTTAATTGTTACCATGTTATACATGGATAATTGTCTATATTTTTTTAGCATCCTATCTTCTGATTTTTCCCCCTCAAACTTACTGACAATAGTGTATGAGCTTTGTCCACCACAAAAATGACCACATTTTCAGACTCAGCAGAACAAAGCATTTAGTAATATCAGTAGAACAAAGCATTATTAATCACATTTTTATTTAGATCATTTACAAAGACTCAGTTGTTCTTGAAATTTTATAAGTCAAATCTACTATTTTCTTTGCTTATTTTCAAATATTAGTCTAGATATTGAGCCAGCACAATTTTTTTCAATAAGTGCTAAAATATACAGTACACATCATGGCCTGCTCTGAAATAAAGGTGAGAATTTTTTTTCTACTTTTTGATTCTGAGCCAATGGTTTATTGGCCAGTCCCTCAAGTAAAGTTGTTGGACTTGTACAGACAGAAAATGTGTCCAATTGACTCATAATATTTCTTAATAAGAAGAAGAAAAGAGAAAAACCCTAGTATTTAAAAAATAATTCCTTTTTTATTCATCAACCATAAAATATATTATTTCATTTAATTTATAATGACCTATAAGTGTTTATAGATGAGGAAACTGAGGGTCAGAGAGGTTCAGTAACATGCCCAATGCCTCAGAACAAATAAGTATTGCTTCATTGCTCCATTTTCCTTCTGATTTTGAGACCACACTACACACGAATAGGTCCCCAGTTCCCTATTTAATTCTACACATTGATCACCTATTTTTGCCCCTATCATTTTTCCTCTCAGAGTTGTAATCAGCTGCCAGTGATGGTATAGACATGAAGGTAAAGTTTCAATGGGCTACAGTATTTCTACATAACTGGAGGGGAATTCTGACTTAACATGAGTGAAGGCCTCTGGTCTACTCTTGGAGCACAAGGGAGAATATTTCACGGACCATTGGGTTGGTCCCCCTTTTAAGGCTGCCCTTTCTCCCAGAAGCTGTGCTGGTTGGTGACAGAACTACGTTGCATGGAACACTTTTTAGCCTCAGATCACAGGCTCCTGCTACTGAAGATATTTTCTACCCTAGCATCTCAAAGCTACTCGGTAAAAATGAAAAAAAATCTCATACGACCTGCTGGGTGAACATTCCTCTCCCCTTCTGTTTTTTTAACCCTAAGGCTTATTGGGGAAGCTAATGACAATTTTCTTTGAGGTTTTTAAAGGACACATTGGAAAGTACTTCAAATCTCTCCTCCTTAATACGCTGATCATAGGGTGGGGGGAGGGGTTGAAACATTTCCATCCTTATTGTATTACATTAGGATTCTACCTGAATAATTTTTTCACTGATAATTCTGGTAATTTTTGAAAGTGGAAAATTTAAGCAAGATTCACATCATCTTAAGAGACACAACAATACATTCTCACCCTTGGACTGTCACAAAATACAAAGCTTTTTGCAGTTTAATATGCAAAATTGTAGACAGGGGGTTTTATCCCCCCCTTAATATGGTGGCTGACTATAATGCCATTGTGTATGTAATTCTTTGATTTGACTAATAATATTTTCTTCCAGCATTAAGTATTTTTAAAACTACTGACATATGTGAAAATATTGCCTTACTGTTTTTTTTTTAAACTAATGTATAGTATAATTTTACTGAATTTTTATGTGACTCTAGTCTTACTGTTTTTAAAAATTAACACAGGAAGAGGCCTAGCTTGGAGAAGTTTGGATGAAAATCTACTGGGAGTGGAGGGATGGAGGTGGAAACTCTTTGTAAATGGCAAGAAACTCTTTTTCTCAACTCTTCTATTGCCAGTCAAGTCTTCCGGGAAGAAATAAAACATCACACAGAGCCTGTCGTTCCTGCAGGTTGAGGTTAAGTTTGAACCTTCCTTGCTAGTCCCTCCACCAGCGTGGCAACTCTTCTCTGACAAGGTGAACTTCCATTAACCAAGCTCCCACGGAACCAACCTGCGGCACCTGAAGCTGATGCAGAGCGGCACAGAAGTGCTTCGAGGAGCTTCTTGCCCTAGGCGACTGTTCTATGCACACAAGCTCTTACAAAAGTCGCTTGTGCTCAGCGAAAGGCATCCCCCCACCTGCAGGCACAGAGTAACGAGCGCATACCCACACACCCCAAGTTCAGGAAGCTGGGCTCATGGACATCCCCCCTGCCCCACGACTCCCCCGCTCTGGAGCACCTTCTGCAGAGAAGGCAAGCGTTTCCCTTCTTTTTTCACATCTTCCAAGTTGCCAAACCTGGGACTGGGTGACACGGGGCAGAGACTGAGTCTTTCCTGTGTTGCCCTGGGACAGGAAGGACCCTGAGGTACTGCGGCATGTCCCAGAGATGCGCAAGCATCTCGCGCGCCTTGGAAGCTCCCAGCGAGGACAAAGAGGGTCAGAAACCGAGTAAGAAATGGGCGGGCTGCGGGGAGACTGGCTCTTGGGCTGCTGGCGAATGCCATAGGGAACAGTGCCCAGGGACTCCGCGCGCCCTCCCTGTCCCGGGGTGCGCTCACCATTTGTAGCCTCTGCCGCGCTTGAACTTGAGGGTGAGCCCGGTCTCCAGAAAGAGCAAGAGGTTGAGCAGCGCGAGCAGCCAGTACCGCGGCTCCTTCTTCACCTCGGTCACTCGCCAGACCCCAACCAGAGAGTGCAGCACGAACAGCAGCCGGGTGGCCAGATTGTTGAGCAGGACCAGTCCCTCCATGCCGGCCCGCGCGCTCTGCCCGCCGCCCCCCGACCCCCGCCTGCGCCCCCGCGGGCCCCCTCGGGAGCCCCGGAACCCGCCCGTGGGCGGGAACCTGACAGCTCGAGACCCGCTGCTGCTGCCGTCCCTCCTCAGCCTCCCGATCAGGGAGAACAGGAGACAGCGGCTCGCCCCTCCCCCAAACTTCCTGACAACTCTCAAAGAGGGGAGAATCTAAACCCAGCCTGTCTAGACTGCTGGGCTTTCCAGGGAGTTCTGGGGCTGCGCCTCCGGGATCTCCGGGGCGTTATTCCCCGGCGCTGCCCATCTCCCTCTCAATCCCGGGAGCCAGGCTCCAACCCTGCAGTCTACCCCATCCCACCCCCGCAGGGTGTCCTCCAAAACTTCCCCACTCCCAGAGATAGGGTGGAGTGAGGGTCGAGATGCTACATAGCCTGAGAGGGGGGAGGAGGATGCATCACTGCCGTCTCCTCCCTGCCTTTACCAGCGAAGTAGTTTGATTCACTCACACTTCTTATGGGAACAAGCTGTCATAGTGACTCTAAGCTGGAACCGGAGGAGGGCCCAAGAATCCGCTGTCCAAGCAGTTTTGGAAATGCTGTTCCTGCGCAGTTTGAAGAATGAAACTTCACAGGACTAGAGGAAATCAGATGGGGGTTTTCTGAGAGCGGTCCCTGCACCTCATTTAAGGAGTGGGTAGCCCAGGTTACTCCCATTCTTTGGTCAATGTGTTATCAAAGCAAAGAGATGTTCTTTATTATGTCGTCCCTACTCTCACTACCCCCCCCCCCCCCCCCACCTCTAGGAATTTCTTCTGAAAGTTGGAGGTTAGCAAGGCAGGAAGGCAGAGGGGAGACAGAGGAAGGAAGGAGAGGATAAAGACAGGGGTTGGACTTGTGGGAGCAATTCATGCAGCTGGGAAGGCACCCTTGAGATCAATGACCAATGAATTCAACTCTGGTCTTTCTAGCATCCAAGGTGAAGAGGAAACTGAAGTCAGGGTTTCCCAAAATACCTTCATGATTTCTGTTCCCTTGTTTCCCTACTGCCTGTACCACTATTTATTTGACACCTTTCTTTAAATGAACTCAAATTTTTACTGAAATAATTTTTAAATGAAACTTTATATCACTTACAAATGGAAAAACCAGTATAGTAGGCCAGAGGTAGATGGTCTTACAAAAACAAATAAAATAAAATGAAACTAAGTTATTGAAATCTCAGTAGATATTAATTATTGCCTTCTAAGACTCTGTACCTCAGCCTCCTTCTTTCTGGGGAGTTAAAAAAATGCCAGGGGGCACCTGGGTGGCTCAGTGGGTTAAGCTTCTGCCTTCCCCTCAGGTCATGATCCTAGGGTCCTGGGATCAAGCCCCGCATAGTGCTCTCTGCTCAGCAGGGAGCCTGCTTCTCTCTCTTTCAGCCTGCTTTTCTGCCTACTTGTGATTTCTGTCTGTCAAATAAATTAAAAAAAAATAAATCTTAAAAAAAAGAAAAAGAAATTCCAGTCATATTACTACCAAACAGGGATGTTCTCTTGACCACATTAGTAAAACTGAGAGAAAAACACAAAAGGAGTATCTTGGTTAGGTTTATTCAACTTATGATCATCCCTTACCTTTCTTAAAATTAGGTTGAAAACTCTGAATTATATGATTAGTGTGTTCATGAAGTGAAAAAAAAAAATCCAGTTGCTTAGAAGTTCAGTTACTTCTGATACTGTTATCAGGAAGATTTTCTTTTCCCCGTGGGTGTGTATTCTTCCATATCTCAGGAAACCCAGCAGTGATTTCCTGGGACTTCTTACCATAGTGCTTTTCATTGTGGGGTGATGGCATAGTGACCAGTGACCTCACGCTATTCAGTGACACACAAGAGCACAGTGTACCAGTGCAGTGGGAGGCAGGGTGGTGTGGACACTGGAGCCTAGAGCCAGGCCAGCTGGCTGCCTTGGAGTCCTGGCTCAGCCACTTAGTAGAGTTATAACCTTTGTAACTCAGTTTCCTTATTAAGCCTATTAACTTATAGGGCCATTGTGAGGATCAAATGAGTTAATCTATACAAAGCACCTGGCAGGTAATAAGTACTTGGTAACACTGGTGATTATTGCCTGGACCAAAAAAGTTAGTTCCACGCTCATTGATGATCTATGACAAGTAACACTAGGAGTGGAGCAGACAAACATAAGACCTGTCAAAGCCTCAGGCTGAACACCATCAGGAATACATCTGTTGCTGAACAAGTTTGGTTTACTGGTCTTTTAGGGAGAAAGAGCACACTCCAGGAAGAACTGTGGGCATCTCAGGAAGAAGATATTAGAAGGATTAGAGAGAACTTACTAGAAAGGATATGGGCTTGTGTTAGGTGCTTTAAGGAGGACTAAGAAAGTAGGGCTTGACTTTAATTGGATGCTCTCAGGAAGTGGGGTTAATTCTGTAATGGGCTGTCTTAATAAAGCTTACTTAGGGGACTGTTTGGACAGTTAGGACAATGTTAATGTTTTGTTTGAGTTCAGACACAATGACAGAGTGTCTTGATCCATCAGGCTCACAAAATGGCTTTGCTCGATATTCATACTCGGTGAAAGTTTTGTGTTCAACAGGAGAATGGCAAGGCCTGGCTGCTGGGCAGACCAGTTTCCTGCTGTCAGAGTTTGCTTCTCTCCTTCTCAGGCTTCCTAGGAAGGGCTCCAGGAGAAGGATTTAACAAGAAAGGAAGAAAGTCAGTCTAACAGCTTCCAAACATCTTTGCTGCTCTCTGTTTTGAAGGTTTAGGTCAGTATAGGATCCATTTCCTCTGGGTCTGAAAAACAAAACTGTCATTAAATGGAACTTTGAGGTTATTTAAAAAAAAAAAAAATTCTCCTAAGCTCATTTTAGAAGACTGGAGGTTGGGGTACCTGTGTGGCTCAATCAATCAGTTGGGTGTCTGACTCTTGGTTTTGGGCTCAGGTCATGATCTCAGAGTCATGATCTCAGGGATGTGACATTGAGCCCTGCTTCAGGGCTGTACACTCAGCACAGAGTGTGCTTAAGATCTTCTCTCTCCCTCTGTCCCTCCTCCCACTCATGTATGTGCTCTCTCTTTCTCTCTAATATAAATAAATAAACTTATCTATCTATCTTTCATCTATCTATCTATCTAAAAGAAGACTGGAAGCTTTGAGAACTATCTTGAGATCTCCAATCCAATAGAGCAGCAAGCTTTTTTTTTTTTAAGATTTTTTATTTATTTATTTGAGAGAGAGAGAGAGAGAGAGAGAGAATGAGAGGGGGAGAAGGTCGGGGGAAGAAGCAGACTCCCCATGGAGCTGGAGCCCGATGTGGGACTCGATCCCGGGACTCCAGGATCATGACCTGAGCCGAAGGCAGTCGCCTAACCAACTGAGCCACCCAGGTGCCCCAGAGCAGCAAGCTTTTAAAAAGAAAAAAATTAAGCAGTTTTTTTTAAAACTACTCTTCTCAAAAAATCAATTTCAGCCTCATGCAGCCAGTTCTTGTGGTATAGGATTGGGTTGCACAAAGTGGAGCTCACCTTATTGTCCCAGGGAACAGCAGTCACCAGGCCTCTCTTGCCTTCTGAATGCAAATTGAAACCCTTGTCAAGCATTTATTTCATTTAGAGTGATTTTGGTTGCACGCAAGAGTCTGTCTCAAGCTAATTCAAGTAAAAGGAGTAGTTATTAGAAGGGTACATATGGTCTTATAGGAGATGGAACCCCTTGGAACTCAAGCACAGGCATTACAGTAGAGCCTTGGACTGGAATTGTAAGACAGCTGTGGACTTGAGTGACTCTTGGATCTCATGGTTACAGTTTGTAGACCTTTTCATAGCAGCTCTCTGACCCTGTCCACCTCCAGGCAAGTCTTTCCACATTCTGAGTTCAAATTCCTAAGAAAAGGAATTCACTGAACTCTTTCAACTCTAGTTACCAGGTCACATTATGGACAGTGAATAGGCTATTGAATGACTGTAATCTGGTCACTGATCATCCCTAAGGGAAGACCAACATTGATGCTACTTTATCATCTTTCAACATGGCATTCTGGGTAGGGCAGTATGAGCAGGGGAGGAAGGGTCACAGCAGGCACATCGACTAACATCTAGGACCATTCACCGCTCAGCTGATATGCACACATCCTATGCCTACAGTCCTAAATATGTCCCTCTCTGAAACTACTTAAACACTGTACATGCAGTTATGGGCTCACCTATGACCTCCCAACAGCAATGCAATCCAAAATCATCTTCCTCCATCAGGAATCATCCTTTGATTCATCATCAAATCATCACCAAAGCTGCAGTGGATCTCAAAAGCTACAGCTTCCTAGTAATTTTCAATAGCCTCTCTTGGCTATTCAGACATCATTCTTTTAAAATTATTTATTTATTGTTATTTATTTATTTATATATTTGAGAGAGTGAGAATGTGTGTGTGTGTGTGTGTGTGTGTGTGTGTGTGTGTGTACAAGTGGGGGAGGGGGTGAGTGCAGAGTCCAACATGGGGCTCTATCTCATGACCCTGAGATCATGACATGAGCTAAAACCAAGAGTTAGAAGCTCAACTGACTGAGCCACCCTGGCACCCCCAGACATCATTCTTATACATATACACACATATGTATATATGTGTCTGTATACATAATATGATGTATGGTAAAAATCATACAGTATAGGAAAGTACACTTCTACTCCTCAGAGAAATTATTCATAATTAATACCTTCCCTTTGTATTTATCCCAGTAGTTATAATTATATTTTTTAAAAAATACCTTATGCTTCTCCATTTCTTAATTTGTCAACTTACAAAATTGTTGACTTCTCAGTTTAAAAGCTGGGGAATCCAATACTTCAACAGTATTTTCTTTCTTCTGCACTCCACCTCTACTACCCAAATTTTGTTAATGATGATGCTGTCTATAGCAACAACACTTTGTTCTCCCCATATAATTAAGTATACTGTGCTGATACTAAAAGTTGAGAATCAACAAAAAATATTTAAAATATGTAATTATTATTCAATGCATTTTTCATATGCAATGTATGTTTCCCCT